GTAAACAAACAATACCATCCATTAAAGGCTCCAGAAATCAGTATGCAGCAGAATCAGCGCAATAAAAAAATAGCGCAATATTTTGTTGAAATTTCTTACAAAACTTGCGCGCAAAAAGCAAATCTAGTATGAAAATAATTTGACTGGAAAAATATGATTAGTTTTTTATCTGTCATAGTATTCATGACTTTCTACTGCCTGGTACACGGTGTAAATCCATTTGTTACAAGTCTTTCATAATTTTTTTGTCGAGTGATTTCAGGCTTTAGAGTAGACCTGTAGTTTTGACGGCCAATTTTAGAAAAGTGCGCAGACTCTAGCGACCCAAGCTTTACTGGCTTACTGACAAATTTAGTAAACGAGGCTTTCCTGGAATGCCAGCTCTCTGGCGCAAGTTTTCAAAAAGTTATAGCATAAAATGTTACCCTGGTCTACTATAGTAGTCCGCGCGTGTACTCTAGTGTTAATAAAAAGTTAAAACGAACGCATTTTGTTCGAAAATTCGGTTGTGTCGGAAACTTTTTTGTTTTTCAAAATGATCTCTTCTATGATCGCTATGGTTTTTGCCATTTTCGAAGAAAAAATAAGTGTTATACAATAAAGTCTACTACTAAAGTACTCTCAATGTCCGCTTTACTGGAATAAAAGACTTCCTAATTGTAATCTTACTTACTATCTGACCTCCTTACTTTTCTACAAGTACAATGACATAAAAATTATGCTACTTATCATAGATTAAATAATCGAATAATCATGTTCAATATTTTTTTATTATCTGTCTGTCGGACTAAAATTAAGCTCAACTCGTTAACAGTGTGCAATTTATTAATATGAAGCTAATAAATAATTACTAAAATATTTTCTAATGATTTTTTTGTTGAAAACAATTTTTTTTTACAGATCTGTGGGTATTTCTTCAAAAGAAGGCCCTGATGAAAATCTTCAGTCTGTCAAACATAGGACAGGATCTATAATATCCCAAGCTCAAATTAAGTTGACCTCTCCTGAGCATGCAAAGATTCAAACGAAACATAGTATCAGCAGCGATATAATAGAAGATCCTGATGAAGAAACGTCCCTCAATCTTAAGAAAAGACCAAAGTTGAGCATAAATTCTAGTAGCGAAAGCGATAGCAATTCCTCGATGTTTTCAATTAATAAAGCACTGGTCGATGTTCCTCAAACAAAGCTTAATAAACAACCACGTGATACAAACAAGATGATTAAAGTTTTATCTACTGTAATTGTCAAAAAGCCAACTGAATCGGATAAAACCACCTACTTGGGAGCTACTACAGATAACACTTCCTCTAATACGTAAGTTAAATAACATAAGTTTTGTTAGTGACACGTAAAGCAAAAATTTACAAATTAATAAGTAACTAAGTTTTTTTTTTCCAGAAGTCAACTATTGTTTCAAGCAAGTGAGCAATCCATGCAAATTAATAAGGCAACTATACAAAAGGTCATCATAAGTTCACCAGAAATTATCAAAAACACTACGTTACTTACAGCGGCTTCTTTCACTGACTCTGGTACTATCATGGACATACTACCAGCGGACGCGGACTCAAAAAATGGGGAAGGCAAATCTGAGGTCACTTTTTGTGAAACTCTACAGCAGCTTTCAAACTTACCGTCTACACTTGCTGAAGTTGATGGCATTAACTCTTGTTCTGAGACACGTGAAGAAGTCTTGGATGCTACTGGTGCAGGTACTTCTCTTCGGGAAATCACAATCTTGTCGCCTATAGCGACTACATCTACTGACGCTGATAATATTATGAAGGTGTATTCAGACCCTGAAAATATTGTAGATAATAAATCTGATAGTACATTTTGCGATTCTCCACCTCAGTCTCCAAACATACTTTCTACAGTTACTGACATTTGTGGCGCTAATCTTACCTGTTCTGATGATACACACGATAATGCTCGTGCAGGTACTTCTTCTCTCCAGCAACATAAAATCTTATCACCTTCTATAGCTTCTTTAAATGAAAAGAATGACTCCAACATATCTGAAGGTAATGACGGTACTGCTAAAATACGACCCAAAAGAAAACGGCGCCGTGTATCAAAATTGAAATCCTTTATGGACTTTTTGTCTGATGAAGACAAGGAAAACTTTTCTTCAGGTAGTTCAGACCTTTGGTCGTATAATGAATCTGCGTTGAGTAGCGATGAAGACAAGAAAATCAACAAAAAAAAGAAGAAAATAAAGAAGAAAATAGATAAAACTAAGACTACAAATACAGAAATAAAAAAAAAGAGAAAACAATTAATACCCGCAGAGTTAACAAACATTTAAAAGACAAAGGAAAAACTTATGAGAATAGAAAAGGATCGCTAGTACCCCAAAAAACAATGAAAATCAATCCATGTGTTCCTGGTAAGTGTGCCAGAGGGTGCCATAAAATAACTGAAGAGAGGAGAACTTCTTTATTTGAATATTTCTGGAGCCTGGACCCTCAGCGTAGAAGAGACTGGATTGTGCATTGTGCTCATAGTACACCAATAAAGAGGAAAATAACAAAAAATGATTTCAGCCGAAGAAGTAATACGTATGAATATTATATCAATGACGGTGAAGGCCACAAGCAAGTATGCCAAAAGTTTTTGATCAAAACTTTGGATATTACTAAAAAATTTATAATGTATACGTTAGATAATTCTAAAGAGGAAATGGCCAAAGAAGATTTGCGGAAATCTAACGTACCAAAAAAATACACCGAAGAAGCAAAAACTTTTGCACGAACCTTTATTGAGAAGCTTCCAGCAGTCCCGTCGCATTACAGTAGAAAAAAATCTAAAAGAAAAATCGAAAAAAAACCTCCCGCAGGAAATGAAAAACATTTTAAACCTATACCAAATGTACTTAAAATGTTGTATTGATCAGGATCAGCAAGCATTAAGTGAAAACGCATTCAGAACAATTTTTAAGGAATATAATATAAGTTTTCACATACCAAAAAAAGACAAATGTGTCATTTGCGTCAAAGCAGAGAATAATAAAGATGATATTATAACCGATAAGGAGAAGGATCTGCTAAGCGCTCATCAAAAAGAGAAGAAAGCTACATATAAACGGTTTAAGATACCTACATCAAACTTTAAAATCACCTACCAACGAATCTATCACTTGCAGTTTCGACTTACAAAAAGTTTTGAATACGCCACATGGGCAAAGTATGCTTTTGTACTACTCACGAAAATATTCAGTTTAAAAAAGTCAAAAAAGTCAAAATTTCTTTATTTGTTTGGNTTTGTAGGAATTATTTCCGATTTAAAAGCTAATTCTACTGGACTATTAGTGTTTTTTCCCCGTTAGCCCTTCGTACTAAGCTAAACATGCTTGATGTTTTCCTTTTACATTGAGCTTGTGTGCCCGTTCTAAACTTGTCCAAGGCCTTGTTTGGACAAGGCCTTGGACAGGTTTAGAGGGTGGTTCTCACTAGCTGGGCTACTCCGTAACACTTTTTACGTAGTTCCGGAGCTGTCACTGTCGCTCATGCTGGCATCTCGCTTAGCGAGAAAGAGATGGCAATATAAATATTTGCTAAGCTAGGGGATGCTGACGGAGCGGTGTTGGACTATGGTGACGTCACGGGAGCTATGGAGTGCAAGTGTAGTGTCCGTGCTCACCTGCCATGTAGCATGTAACGTAACCAACCTTCAAGTGAGTACGGCTCGTCCACCCACGGTCATCGCGTATTTGGCTGCGAGCTCCTGGATCCTACTGCGAGCCGCCTTTGTGCTCGCAGTGACGTGCCTATGTACTCACTTGATACAGTATCTGATACATTACACTGTGGAATAGGATGTTCATCCACAATAAGGAAGCTAGATGTTATTGCTTCCTTCCGAACGGGTGTTGTGTTCGGGGACCAAGGTCCAATTTACACCATCTTGGTTTGTCTATACAACGTGTCCCAAAATTCAAGGATAAGCCGGCGCCGCAGGATGGACATAGTCATGACTACTTTAGGAAAAATAAGAAAAAAAATCTATCTCAATTATTTTTTAAGTTACACAATAAATTATGGAATTCGTCGAAAATTGACACCCCTTATGATATTTTACATTACCACGACCACAATTTTTCAAATACTTCTGTTTTTTTGTTTGTATCGGCAACTTAAGTAGTGCTGCTGTCCTCTCCAATTCTTAAAACCCTCAGAATCCTTGCAGTTTTTACACAAAAGTTAATCAAAATATGATATTTCCTTAAAATTTTGAACGATTTTTACTTTTACTCCACTTTGACTCGTCGTTTTGTAATAAAACAGTATGAACACTACTGCGGCAAGTTTTTTATAAAGTTGCCGCAACTATCCAAAGATTCCAAAATGGTATAATACTCTAAGAAAACTAGTCGCAATAAAGATATGCGTACCATTTTTACAAGCACTTCGCTTGTTAGTTAGTATGAGAGAAATCTTGCAATTAAATTTAAAACCAGTTCTCCTTAACCAATTGAGCTGAAATTTGGTATACTTATGTAAGTACGATAACATTGCAATATTATGGTATCATTGAGCTGGATGGAGTCTAGAGGTGGCCATAGGAACTTCTAAACGAAACGACGGAATCGCATCTAATTTGAGTTTGTTGGATATCTTTTCGAGCACTTTAGTGCTAGATGATGTCCAGGGTCCTGATGATGAAGTCAAGAGGTGGCCAGGAGCTGGCCAAAGGAACTCCTAATCGAAATGGCGGAAGATTATCGAGTTTGGGTTCGTTGGATTTGACTTCCCGAGCACTTGGACCATGAGATTGAGAAACAACTAAAAAGTGTAAAATAAAGTTATAATAAAAAAAAACTTTTTTAAAAACAAGACTTAATGCGAAATTTTACGAAAGAATTTAACGATAAAAATAATTGTATGCAAGGTTCAAATAATTTCGAAAGTTTGTAGCGCAAACAGAAAAAAAGAGGAATAAATTCCATGCGCGATTAGGTATAACTTTATTTTAAACTTTTTAGTTGTTTCTCAATCTCATGGCCCAAGTGCCTGAGAAGACAAACCCAACGAACCCAAACTCGATAAGCTTCCACTATTTCGTTTAGGAGTTCCTATGGCCAGCTCCTGGCCACCTCTTGACTTCATCATCAGGATCCTGGACATCATCTAGCACCAAAGTGCTTGAAAAGACAAATCTAACGAACCTAAACTTAGAAGTTCCTATGGCCACCTCCAGACTCCATCCAGCTAAATGATACCATAATATTGCATTGTCATCGTACTTACATAAGTAAGTATACCAAATTTCAGCTCAATTGATTGAGGAGAACTGGTTTTAAATTTAGTTGCAAGATTTATCCCATACAACTAACAAGCGAAGTGCTTGTAAAAATGGTACGCATATCTTTTTTGCGACTAGTTTTCTTAGAGTATCATACCATTTTGTAATCTTGGATAGTTGCGTCAACTTTATAATAAACTTGCCGCAGTAGTGTTCATACTGTTTTTTTACAAAACGACGAGTCAAAGTGGAGTGAAAGTAAAAATCGTTTAAAATTTTAAGGAAATATCATATTTTGATTAACTTTTGTGTAAAAACTGCAAGGATTCTGGGGGTTTTAAGAATTGGAGTGGACAGCAGCACTACTTAAGTTGCCAATACAAACAAAAAAACAGAAGTATTTGAAAAATTGTGGTCGTGGTAATGTAAAATATCATAAGGGGTGTCAATTTTCGACGAATTCCATAATTTATTGTGTAACTTAAAAAATAATTGAGATAGATTTTTTTTCTTATTTTTCCTAAAGTAGTCATGACTATGTCCATCCTGCGGCGCCGGCTTATCCTTGAATTTTGGGACACGTTGTATATACTTGGCAGGGTAGAAAACTCCGTCACCGCGATGCAGGTTTGTATGAGCGACGGAGTGTGCCATAGTGAAGTAGTGACAGCGCCATCTGTTGGTACACAGTTTGTAGTGGCGTATCGTCGATGTCGCCACAACACGCTACACGGCTAGATGAGTAGGTAACCTGCTTAGTGTTGTGCTCACCTCTCGCGAAGACATTGAGCTCGGTGAAGCAGCCTGTTTCGATCATCTCGGCCTGCCAGGGGATGCTGACGGAGCCGGTGTTGAACTTGCCGTAGAAGGTGTCGTCGGCCGCGTCCAAGTTGACGCCCTTCACGGTGGAAAACTGCTCGATGTCGAGCACGTCTTTGGCGTACACCGCGTGCGGCTGTAATGGAATATGAACACGGATTATTATTTGACGACGAGTACCTGCAGTGAGGGAAAATAACAAAGGTCTTTTTTGTTGCAAATTATGGAACAAGTCAATTCAAGTCAGTCAAATTCTTGATAATTCCTCCATTCCTCCATTGATAGACCTCCTAACCTTGGCCTACCGGAAAATTATGATGGAATCCCTAATAGAAAGTTGTAAATACCTAATGGAAAGTAATTTTACCCTTTTTTTTTATCCCTTGCATAGCACGGGCGTACAGAGCGTAATTTCGGGTCTATCTGTCACTGTTTCACTCATGCTGGCATTTCGCTTTGCGTGAGAGGGATGGCATCATTCGAAAGTTTGGATGACGTTTCTCGAAGGAACCCTGCGTCTTAACCAGTTTGATACTTGAAGCAAGCACCGAGATGTTCTCGTCACACTTTTTTCTTGACTGTTGTGGATTTTGTTTTTAACCACAATGAAAATTCACTATGATGGAAAATTATTTTATATTTTTATACATTTTTTACTTACATATTTTCTATGATTTTTGAGATTTCATCTCAGATACATACTGAAACAAATTAGAAAAATCCTGGAGTCCTTGAGGTTTGAACTAGGGTCCCGTCGGATGCGAAGCGCCGCCCGCGCCAATGCGCCAACCGTTCTCTTGATCCTTGCTGCGAAAATAAACACTACTAGGGACTACAATACTCACGTCAGGCACAAACGGCGCGTCCACCATGCCAGCTTCAAGCCTGGCGAAGTTCAACTGCGCGAAGAACCGATGAGCCTTAACCAGTTGAGCGCCGCGCCGGCCCGCGCCGAAGCCAAGCCGCGCGCCGGCGCACTTGCATAGCAACCCGCTGCATAGCGAGCGCACAGAGAACTAGTGTCTTGAGTGTCGATTCAAAGAATCCAATGTCTTGGAGCCTTGATCAGTTTACTACTTACTGCTTACCTTATTTACAGCCAACCCCACGTAATTTTTCCTTGCATGGTAACAGTAGTGCGCTCGCGCACTTGCATAGCGAGCGCATACGAAGAACTAGTTACTCAGAAGCTCGGGTCTATCTGTCACTGTCGTCACTGTGTCAGTTTCTCGAAGAAACGTTATCCAAACGTCTTAAACCAGTTTGATACTTGAAGCAAACACCAAGATGTTCTCGTAATTTTTTTTTTCTTGACTTTTGCAGCTTTGTTTTTAGCTACAATGAACATTCACTATGATGGAAAATTATTTTATATTTTTTTACATTTTTTACTTACATATTTCTATGATTTTTGAGATTTCATCTCAGATACATACTGAAACAAATTAGAAAAATCCTGGAGTCCTTGAGGTTTGAACTGGGGTCCCGTCGGATGCGGAGCGCCGTCCGCGCCAATGCGCCAACCGACCTCTTGATCCTAGCTGCGAAACTAAGCATCTCTTGTACTCACGTCAGGCACAAACGGCGCGTCCACCATGCCAGCTTCAAGCCTCGCAAAGTTTAATTGCGCGAAGAACCGATGAGCCTTAACCAGTTGAGCGCCGCGCCGGCCCGCGCCGCAGCCCAGCCGCGCGCCGGCGCACTTGCATAAGAGCCCGCTGCATAGAGATCGGGCGCACTCGCTGAACTTGCTTGAGTATTTCTCTTGCTCGTGCTGGAAGCAAATGGAACTTTTTAGGCTATAATAGGTATCTGCAGGACAAAAATACCCTTTTGAGTTACCTACAGTGCGAAAAGAAAGGGCTACATGAACGCTCTCTGAAGATGTTCCAGAAAAACAAGTGACGTTCACCCTCCGTATCCCACAAGAGACAAAAGACGCGCGTCACTTTCGCGTCGTAATTAATGTGCGTCGCACAGTATGTTATGAGACTGTATAATCGGACATTCTCATTCATTTGATGAACCGTATAGAGCTCAGTTATACAAACATGATAGTAAAACTCCCGTTTGAAAATTCCAAGTAGTTTTCGCGGTATAAAAATTCAAAGTTACCTATTTTTTTACTTCAAAATTATGCAAAAATATTCTCACTCGTTAACTAATAACATTTAATTCAGAATTGTTATAATACTTCATAGAGCTCTTAAAACTACACGTAATAAGCGTATTAAGTGCTTCGTAAACGCATTCAGTTAATTAGGAAAAATGATTTTAGTGATTTTTGTTTTTATTTTTTTTCTCAATTATACCTTAATATATGCAAACATTTTTAATTGCAAGATATAGTCTGATATTTAATCTAATTGTGTAAAAAAAAACAGCTTTAAATTCCGTGATATATTTGAGGAAAATCAAATTGAAAATATGCGCCATATAGAATTGTAAATTTCCCGTCACTTTTTAATAGCAATATTTTATTTATTTATTTATTTATTTCCAAGCTTAAGCCTATTTTTACAGAAATCCAATACAATAGACAAGCGAAATATGACAGGAACGTAACAATAGTAATATAAGTAAATTAAATGAAAATATACAAATAAACCTAAGAGTAACATATATTAAAAAGCGTCATCTTTGTGAATTCACCCAGAGTACAATGAAACAAGTCAATCCGTTCAGCTAGTTCATTGAGGGTGTGCAGTGTGAGCGTCAGCGCCGCCCTGCTCTGCAGCTGCGTGCGCCCGCGCGGCACCGCCAGCAGCGGCGGCCGGCGGCGCCGCTCCACGTACCTGTCGGGCACGCAGAACCCTATCTTTCCCAATATTACCTCGTTAAGCACTTTACCTCTCATTACTTTGAATATATACAACGCCAGAGCAAAGTTCCTACGCACCCGCAACTCATTGTATCCTACCATACCCAATACAAATAAATTAGGGTACATCAATGGATAGAAGGGGTACACCCCATATTTCCTCATATACAGATACCTAGTAAATTTATTCTGTATGCGCTCCAACATAAGGTTGTAATGTATTTGGTGTGGAGCCCACACTACAGAATTAAATTCAAGATGGCTTCTCACAAGGGCATTGTATAGGGCTACAATGGCTGAGATGCTGGTGAAATCGTGAACTCTACGGAGTATGAGTCCCAAGTTTCTGTATGCTTTCTTACATACATTAGTTATATGGTCTTGAAATCTTAGATCATCTGTAAACCAGACCCCCAAGTCTCTCACTCCAGTAACTCTCTTCATAGGCACCTGGTTTACATTGTAGTTGAAGTGTATAGGACTACGAGTTCTTGCAAAGGATATCATGATACACTTTGAAACATTAAATTGCAGCTTGTTGTTTTCACTCCATGCCACAACCTCGTCAATATCCCTTTGCAATCGCTCGCGGTCCTTTTCATCTTTGATTGGCAAAAACAATTTAAGATCATCTGCAAAGAGTAGGCACTTTGAATATCTCACAACCTCCGGCAGATCATTTATCATTATGATAAACTGAAGCGGCCCAAGGTTGCTGCCCTGACTCACTCCTGATCTAACGAAATATGGTTCAGACCGGCAACCAGCGTATTCAACGTACTGTTTTCGATCTCTCATGTAACTTGCTAAAAACCATAACAGCTGAGGCGTGCAACCGATAGCAGCCAACTTCCGAAGAAGGATATCATTGTCCACAACATCGAATGCCTTACGAAAGTCGAAGTATGCTGCGTCCACTTGTCCCTTTTCACTGTCTACAGCAGGTATTATTTCCGATACATAGTTCAGGAGATTACTTGTTGTACTACGACCCGGTCGGAAGCCGTGCTGTACGTCAGTTAACTGTGCACTTACTTGATCCAACATACTTTTTTGAATTGCCGACTCAAACACCTTAGCAGGCGTCGATAACACTGCTACCGGTCGGTAACCATCAACTGAAGTACCACATGAACCGCCCTTAGGGACTGGAACCACGCGTGTAGTTTTCCAAATGTCTGGAAACACCCCGTCGCTTAAGCACCTATTGTAAATATATAGCAATGGCTCAGCCAAAATACCACGACAATCCCTAAAAATATAAACTGGAATCCCATCAGGACCAGCAGACCTTTTGGGCTTCAGCTTTGCAAGTGAGCGCTCAACCTCTGCCAACTGTAATTGCCCTATGTGTATTCTGGCTGATCCATTAGCATCGCCAGCGCTTGTTATTGCTTCTTCGACATTAAGTTCCGCTCGCTGCGTGCTGTAAACGGAGTGAAAATAACTGGCGAACTCATTGGCGCATTTTTGACCCGTTAATATGACCCCGTCTTTCAATATCGTTTTAGTATTCCTGTTATCTCGTTTAGACTTTATATAATTCCAAAAAGATTTAGGATCCTCTGCTAAATGGTTTTGAACAGATTTAACGTGCTGCTCATGACAACTTACTATCATATTTTTAACACGACTCCTACACAAAGCAAACTCCTCATAATCAGTCTTTAATTTACTAATCTTGTATCGCTTATGTAGGATAGCTTTATATTTTATTTCTTTTATTAATATAAAATATATATAATAATAGTTTTGCCGAATACCACTCAGGATATGCATATCTCGAGTCCCCCTTACTACCCGATGTAAACGGAACGCATTCATTAATAATTTCGTTAATATTTTTGTAAAAAAAACTTACACAGGAATCAACATTATCTATGTTGTACAACGGAGACCAATCAATAGAAGCCAGCGATGAATACAATAATGGATAGTTAGCTTTCTTAAAGTTCCATTTAGGCTTTATGTGTATATTATCCCCTTTGCTTACCTTTTCGTCTCCGGCCCGTCCAGTTATCAATACCTCTATTTCCAGCGGCGGATGGTATGCGTCCACCGATACCAATGATTCGGTCGCGGCGCTCACACAAACATCACTGTCACTAAAAGTGGTCAATACTAGGTCCAATTGACGGTCATTACAATTGCCTACTTCATTTCTCTGAGTAAATCCACAGTATGACAAAAAGAAATCGTAATAATTACGTATACTAACCGAACATGAATATAAGTTAAAATCGCCTATTACTATTATATTATTATACAATACACAGAGATCTTCTATTATTGCGCGTAATTAAATAACATCATGTATTCATTCTCATTACTACATGGTGGAATATACACAACACAACACAAAAACAAAAATCTATTTCGTAAATAAACATTCGCGCAAACGCACTCGAACTTATGATTTCTTTTGGATGTTTAAATATCATCAGCTCGATTGTACGAAATTATTGTATTGACATCCGATTTACATAGGTTTCAAATCGATGAGAAAATTATTAAAGGTAGGCTAAATTCGACTTCCTAGATTTGTTTACATACTTTTTTAGTTAGTTACTTACATACAACTTAAGTTAATATAAGAGTGTTAAAAAAGAAAAAAGACTCGACTTGAGAACCTCCTCCTTTTTTTGAAGTCGGTTAAAAACAATGTGAATGTGATTTTTTAGAACCTTCAACACTATGCACATAAGAGGCGGGATTTGAAACTTTTTAGACATGAATTATTCCTTCCAAAATTGTCGACTCTAGACGCGTAAAAAAATTATTAAGACGTTTTATGTTTTTTCTCAAATATATCACGGAGTTTAAAGCTGATTTTATTAATACAATTATATTAAATATCAGACTATATCTTGCAATTAAAAATGTTTGCATATATTTAGGTATAATTGAGAAAAAAAAATAAAAACAAAAATCACTAAAATCATTTTTCCTAATTATCTGAATGCGTTTACGAAGCACTTAATATGCTTATTACGTGTAGTTTTAAGAGCTCTATGAAGTATTATAACAATTCTGAATTAAATGTTATTAGTTAACGAGTGAGAATATTTTTGCATAATTTTGAAGTAAAAAAATAGGTAACTTTGAATTTTTATACCGCGAAAACTACTTGGAATTTTCAAACGGGAGTTTTACTATCATGTTTGTATAACTGAGCTCTATAAGTTTCATCAAATCAATGAGAATGTCCGTTTATACAGTCCCATAACACACTGTGCGTCGCTTAAAACTGTCACCTTAAAATTGTGAATTCCGTCAGATTGACGTAGTTAAATTACAATCTAACCTAACCCACTGTTAGTTTACAATCTCACTCGTTTTATTATAAACTGACGGAATTCACAATTTCAGGTTGACATTACTACTATTCTAGCCAATCAAATAAATAAATAAATAAATAAATCTAGTTGTAATAGAAGAGTTTTCACAACAGAAATATTTACTCTGACTGACAAGGTGCTTTGAATAAAAGTTCATAGGGTGACCTTCTGCAATTTCAATTAGGTAGGTAAACAATTCCAATATGCTGGAATTTGATACGCATTTTGACCTTGACCCTTGCTTGGCACATCACTGACCTTGACCCGGCGGTCGACCTCCTCCCGCTTGACCTTCTCCTTGCGCGCGCGGAAGGGCGCGCGGCCCTCGATCATCTCGTACACCAGGCAGCCGAACGAGAACCAGTCCGGACTGAACGTGTACCGCTCGTTGTCTATGACCTGGAACACATAGACAATAGTTTATAATAGATGGAGGTAAAAGTGGAGGAATTCTGGTATCGTAATATTTGGGTACTAGAATCCCCCTGCCTGGGAGAGTCATCCACCCCCGACCCAATGAAGAGTAGACCAAATCTTCCCTTTGGTAAATTGAAAGATCATCGTGCTCCTGCAATGAAGACCACCGTCCTTTGCCCCCAGTGGGACATCTTCTGTCCCCTGTGGGGGCGGTCCCCTGTCCCCCGTAGGTTTCCCCTGTCCCCTGTCCCCCGTAGGAAGTACCTTGTCCCACGTGAGGCGTTCCCTGTCCCCTGTGGGGCGTCCCCCCTGCCCCAGTGGGACGTCCAATGTGAGGCGTAACCTGCCCCGTGAGGCTTCCCCTATCCCCTGCTCCCTATAAGACGCCCCCTACCCCCTATGAGACGCCCCCTGCCCCCTATGAGACACCCCCTGCCCCCTATATTACCTCGGGCTCCATGTAGCCCGACAATAAACGTCGTCGGCATCCCCTGCTCACTGTGAAGCGTCCCCTGCCCGCTGCGGCGCGTCCACTGTCCCCTGAGGAGCGTCCCCTGTCCCCCTCTGGTACATCCACGGCCAGCCCTAGGTCCGGGCTGCAACGTGCCCGCACTAGCAGGAAGTACCCTGCCCCCTATGGGGCATTCCCTGCCCTCTTTAGAGCGACCCTCCCCTGTGGGTTGTCCCCTGTCCCTGTGGGGCTTCTTCTGCCCTGTGTGGGCCGTCCCCTGCTCCCAGTGGGTTGTCCCCTGCCCCTTGCGGGGCGTCCCCTGCCCTCTCTGTGGGCCGTCCCCTGCTCCCTGTGGGTTGTCCCCTGCCCCCTGTGGGGCGTCCCCTGCCCCCTGTGGGGCGTCCTCTGTCCCCTGTGGTGTCTCCTGTCCCCTGTGGTGTGCCCTGTCCCCTGTGGTATCTATCCCCTGTCCCCTGTGGTGTCCCCTGTCCCCTGTGGTATCAACTGTCCCCTGTGGTGTCCCCTGTAGTTCCTCTGGCGCCATGTAGCCCACGGTGCCGACGCGACCACGCACGCTGCCGCCTTCTGGTACATCCACGGCCAGTCCCAGGTATAAGATGCAACTTGGCCCGTGCTGGCAGGATGTCCCCTGTCNGTAACAGACAGACAGACAGACAGACAGACAGTCAGACAGACAGACAGACAGACAGACAGACAGAGTTACTTTCGCATTTATAATATTAGTTGGGATGGGATTTTTAATTAAACTATTCAATTGATCTCACAATATTATGTTCAGAACATGTAACTTCATCTTGTCAAACTAGAATATAAAAGAAATAAAATGATTTTTATTATAATTTGCAGCATTTTTATTTACTTACAAACAGTCGACCCGAAAAACCCGAAAAAACCGGTTTAGTTCGGTTTTTAAAAATAAAAACCGAAAAAACCGGTTTTTCCAAACCGCTCGGTTTTTGCATGCCCTATTCCGAAGCAAAATGTAAATAAGTCTGTTCCGGTTCGTTTGACTCGTGAGTTGTCGCGTTCAGCGCTTTGTAACTTTCCAACATGCGCGATAATGCATCGGCCGTATTGTTATCAGTGCTAACATATTCGATAGAAAAATCGTAGGCTGACAATAACAACGCCCACCTTTGCAACCTACTAGCCGTCATGCTCGGTACCCCTGTATCCGGGCCAAAAATGCTTACAAGGGGTTTATGGTCCGTCCGCAAAGTGAAGTGTCTACCATACAAGAACTGATGAAATTTTTTTTACAGCAAAAACTATAGCAAGGGCCTCCTTGTGAATTTGGCTGTAATTAATCTCGGCTCGGGTGAGCGCCCGCGAGGCGTAGGCCACGGGCCGCTCGGCGCCCGCGCCGCGCTGCGCCAGCACCGCGCCCAGCCCGTGCGCGCTCGCGTCGCACGTCAGCACGAGCTCGCGCGACTCGTCGTAGTGCACCAGCACGTCCGCGCCGATTAGTAGCCTTTTTACTAACTTAAAGCAACGATCATGAATATGTTCCCAATGCCAATGTTTTCCTTTCCTAAGCAAATANGTTTTTTTACACCCTGTATGTTCCCAATGCCAATGTTTTCCTTTCCTGAGCAAATCATATAAAGGTGATAGGTAAATGAAAACTTAAGTTTTTTATAAATTTGCCGTAGAAATTAATCATCCCTAGAAATGATTTAAGTTCAGAAACATTTCTCGGTGGGAGAAGGTTTATTATCGGTTTAATTTTGTCTGGATCAACTTTAATCCCTTGATTACTGATTATAAAACCTAAATATTTTACCTCTTTGTTAAAGAAATCACATTTCTGTTTTTTTAATTTTAAACCATGGTCCTGCAATATTTTTAGTACATTATTTAGGGTTTCCAAATTCGATAAAATAGATGTACCTCCTATTAAAATGTCATCCAAAAACACAGTGACATTGGGCATGTGGGCAAATAATTGTGACATAATTCTTTGAAATATTCCTGGACTCGACGACAGTCCGTAAACAAGTCTATTATATTTAAAAAGACCTCGATGAGTATTTATCACCGTTAAATTACTCGTATCATCTAACAATACCTGATTGTAAGCTTGAGATAAATTCAGCTTGGTGAAATAGTTATAACCGCTTAATTTAGTGAGCAAATCATCTATTTTAGGCACAGGGTACTTATCTACTTTTAAAACTTTGTTCAACGTCACCTTATAATCAGCACAGATACGTAAAGCGCCGTCCGGTTTATGTACAATTACCAGCGGCGTGGCCCAGTCCGAGCAGTCCACGGGCTCGATGACGCCGGCGCGCAGCATGGCGTCCAGCTCGGCGTCTACGCGCGCGCGCAGCGCGTACGGCAGCGGGCGCGCGCGGCAGAACACGGGCGCGGCGCCCTCGCGGATGCGAAGTGTCGCCCGGCCCCCGTTGAAGCACCCCAACCCGCCGTCGAATAACTCCTTATATCTGTCGCAGGCAAATTGTATGATTCCGCATTTTACAAACGGCGTCGTCAGTTTACAAACGCTCGCTGTTCTATGAAATGCCGAAGGCAAATTGGCGACTCGTTCAATTGATAAAATTTCGACTATGATTGTTGCAATAGGGTGACCATCATAAAACACATGTTGGACAAATCAGACTTAATTTCAGAAATCAGGTAGGTATCTATTCAGGTAAGACAAACCTAAAATACTAGCTACTCCTAAAGTAAGTAAAATATTTTCTTAATAAAAACAACACTAAACTAATTTAAACTACTGACGTACGTACCNTCCAACCCGCCTGCCAAGCGTGGAGATTATGGCAAAACCCTCCACTATAGTGGAGGAGGCTCATAGTCCAGCAGTGGACTGTAAAGGGCTGTTGATGATGATGATGAGGTACATTACTTAAAATTTTATCAATAGAAAACCGTTCTAATATGAAAAAATTGAAGAAAAAAAGAGTTCTTACTAACATTGAGATAGGTACCTATTTTTTCAAACTATCAGAAAGTAATCTTTAGTTCAAATTCAAACTGAAACTTGTTTGTGTTTTCTGCAAATACGTTAGACACGTGTTAGGAGTTGTTATAACTTTAATCGTGTTTTAATAAAGGTAAACATTCTTAAGAAACATCACACTAAATGTAATAACACAGTGTAGGTACAGGAGTTATTACTTACCTTCCATCAACTTAGTAATATTGAATTCATTAAAGTCACCCGGTATAGTTAGCGTGCCTACACTCTGTTGAACATGACGTGTCGCGTAACAGAGTGGCACAAATAAAAGTAGAGAAATAAATAGAGTCGTTATTTTCAGGCAACTTAAACAATGCTCTGTGTTTAGATAGATANCCTGTGGTATCCCCTGTCCCCTGCAGTACCTCGGGCGCCATGTAGCCGACGGTGCCGACTCGGCCGCGCACGCTGCCGCCCTCTGGTACATCCACAGCCAGCGCTAGTCAGCACTAGTCCGTGATGCGCCGTGGCCCGCACTAGCAAGATGTCCCCTGCCCAATGTGGTGCGTGTGGGTGTCCCTTGTCCCCATTTGGGGAGTCCCCTGCCCCTTGCGAGGCGTCCCCCCCTGCCCCCTTTTGTAAGTACCTCTGGCGCCATGTAGCCGACGGTGCCGACGCGACCTCGCACGCTGCCGCCCTCTGGTACATCAACAGCCAGTCCTAGATCCGAGATCCGCACGTGGCCCGCGTCGTCTAGTAGGATGTTTTCTGGCTTGCAGTCTCTGTGAAGGATAATGGGATTTATTTTAAAGGAGGGAAAATCAATGGTAAATATGGTAAAGTAACGTGTTAAATTACCACAAGAAACAAAAAACTAGCGCGCCCTCCACGCAACAAGCGAACCGTAGCTTTGTCTCCGTACTGAGCTGTATTTGTGTCTTATTTACTATCGTCAAAAAATACATGAAATTATGAGATTGCAAGAATAGATCCACTAAAATGAGAAACGTGGTAAACGGTTGCCTCAAGCATTCGTCCGCGTTCTCCGCTCGGCATCCCCACCTAAAGAAGGCCATTTTCCATCTTCGGCGACGAGCGGCACGCAGAACACGTGCTGTGCCGTTGCGGCCTCATTGGGCGCCACCAGATATCTTGGTGGTTGAAGCCTAGAATTGTGTCTTTACCTGTACACTATGCCCATCTTGTGCAGATGGTAAAGCCCGCAGGGCACCTACGCGGCGTAGAACCGCGCTCGCTCCAGTCCCAGCCCTGTGCTTCTGTGTACTAAGATGAGTCTCTATGCCAGCGGTTCCCGAAAGGTGGTCCGCGGAGCCCTGGGGTTCCGTGGAAAGGCCGCAAGGGTTCCGTAAAAAATATTATCCCACGTTTCGTGACCGACATTGTTCGCGCGCACCGACTTGTTTACGCACAAGGGAGGGGCAGGGCGTGCGGGCGGAGTAGAACGGTGATTTCGCTAGGAAAAGTATAATCAATTAGGGTTCCTTGGCAAAAAAAAAGGGAAACCCTGGTCTATGCTACTGCTGAGCTTGTGTTTTTTTTATGTTTTGTCTCTGTAGGTACTGAGAGTTGTTGCCTTTAGTACGCCGTGTGCCTACCTATGTATGATTCAATGCATTGATCGCCATCGCTGCACGCCGGCTGATCGCGTGTGATCGCGTCGTTGGTTTGACTGAACCTTTACAGTTTACTTATATGTAGTTTGCACCCTGAACCCTTTACCTGTACACTATGCCCATCTTGTGCAGATGGTCGACCACCTAGCCGCGTAGAACCGCGTAGACTAGTTCCAGCCTGGTACTGAGCTACGTCTTTACTCAGCTGTCTCCTTACTGAGCTGTAAACTCCTCAACGAGCGTCTCCTTAACTGTTTCTCCTTACTAACCTATATAATAAGACTGAGCTATGAATGGTTACTCTGTAGCCCGCAGGCCACTTGGGCCGCGTAGAACCGCGCTCGCTCCAGCCCCAAGCCGGTGTCGGCGCCGCACATGTTGTAGATGTCTCCTTACTGACTTCGTACTGATCTATCAGCTGTATGTGTAACCTATACACGATGTTCATCTTGGTGATCGAACCCGCAGGCCATCTGCACCGCTTTAGTCGCCACCAGTGCACCTACCATGAGTTTACGTTAGGTGTGCTCGCTAGCAAATACGTCAAAAATATCTATGAAGATTTTGTTTCTTGAAAGTAGCCGCTAGGGGCGCTGCACAATATGTCATACAATTAATGTCATTTTTTTACGTAGTCGCTAGCGAGCACGCCTAACGTAAACTCATTGTAAGCACACAGATATGTGGTGGTGATATCTGACGGCACAAGGCGGTCTGCTAACTGGGAGATGGCGAGAGATCGTGGTGCTGAAAACTGTATCTGCCTCTAAAACTGACGTGAACGCCTCAACGTGGCCACGACCATTCTGCCAAGAGCCAAACGACTAAGAAGGCATTTGGAAGCTGAGACATAGAGCTGGATCTAAAGTCCGGTCGCCGAGCACATACAATTTCGTCCATCCTTATCACGCGCATAATCATATTGCTGTCCCGCTCACACACTCACTGCGGCGCAATATAATTACGCGCGAGCGATAAGGATGGGTAGCTTGGTGTTATTGGACGAAATTCTATCTGCTCGGCGACCGGACTTTATCACGCCTCGTGTTGTATACCTACTTATAATCGTCTTTACCTGTACACTATGCCCATCTTGTGCAGGTGGTCGAGCCCGCAGGCCACTTGGGCCGCGTAGAACCGCGCTCGCTCCAGCCCCAACCCGGTGTCCGCGCCGCACATGTTGTAGATGTGGAACTTTAGGTCGCCTCCTGGTGACAACAAGGATTTGATGTCAAAAATAAAATTCTTTAAATATTTTTTTTTTAGGTATCTGTGCTTTATTAGGTCACCCTGAAACTTGAGCTTTAGATGCCGCGATAGCAGTAAGATCGATGAGTTTGAGATGTGGTGCTGGTGGAAGCTACTCCGCATACCCTGGACTGCAATGTGAACCAACGAGTTCATATTAAAAGAGCTCAACATCACCACGCGGCTCTCCACTATATGCCTAAAGCGTACCCTTGATTTCTTCGGACACATTATGCGGTCTCCAAGGCATTGTCTGGAGAAACAAATGAATCTTTTGGGACAAATGAAATGCTCGGGGTAAGGCACAGACGAGATGGTCAGACGCGGTGAGGAAGACGGTTGGCGGAAGTATGCATCGTGCGGTCCACACAGCTTATGACCGCAGTCTGTGGAGGAACACTTGAAGTGGTCGCGAGCCTCATCAGTGAAGGACCGAGGAAGAAGGTTACCCTATAAATACAGTGTTGAAATTGTCACCTTCTTTCACTTTCAGAGTAATTTTCACGTCTTCAGGCCGTATTCAGGTATCAAATATCAATCAAACCCTTTATTGCGGTAAACGATAACGCTATAAATCCGGTTATGACCTATATTTACGTCATTACGTACATTTATGTTCACGCACACAAATGTTTGTATTCTGTTTCTTTAGGGAATCAATTTAAGAAATTCGGAAAGTCCTTTGATATAATAGTGGTACGCAAACTACCACTGCATACTGCTGGCTGAGTGAGCCTGAGTGGGCGCCTTTTTGGCACAAAATTTCCATCTATCTAAGTGTAGTTTTTATTTTTTTCTTTCTTTGAAAATTTGTATTTTCGTCTGTGTTTTCGTGTCAAATAAAGTTTTTCTATTTTTATTTCTCATTTCTATTTCAAACCACTAAGCTAAGCCAGGCATCCGTCATCGCCTTTTTATGCTTAAATTATTGAATTTTGATGATTTTACAGATAAATTGGTCCTTGGACCGACCAATACACGCAAGCGAAGTCACGGGCAGACAGTAGCTAGTACAGATTTAACTCCTTTTCCAAAATAGTAAGCTCAAAGCTGCAAACAACTTTGTCAAACTAGACTTCCTTGCTATCTATTTCCGCGTCTGCCGCCGACGTATAAAAGGCCGGAAATCGAGCTTTTCAAATACGAAATCTGTCTAGATCAGCGTTTTCTCAGTAAGCAACTATTTTCTAGCAAAATACTTTTTACACGACTACGGCGAAGCCAAAAGCAAGGTTATGATTTATTTATTTATTTAGGGATAGTACACAGCACAATATCAGTTTAGGTTACAATATGTTTTTGTAAGATTCATTTTGATGGCCAATTATTAAAATTTTCTGTTAAGGTTTCTTGAATGAAATTCAGTTTGTAGCTTTATAAAGTTTACTATAAACTTGTTTGTAAGTAAAGAAATTAAATATGTATGTATTTAAAAAAAAAAAGGTATATAAGTATAATATCCGTTAAGCTAGCACCTGCATATAACACAAGCATTAAGTTGCTTACTTTGGGGCTAGCTGGCGCTGTGTGAAATTGTCCAAAGATTTATATTTATTTATTTATTATTTATTAAAAAAAAAAATTACACAAAGTAAAAATGCACACCGTGCTTGCTCACATCGCAAACAGGAAGAGAGAGACAGGAACTTGAACGAGAGCAAATCTTGTCTATGAAAAATCTACAGTTTAGATTGTCACCACGCAAAGACATCAATAAATAAATATACTGCATACTATCAATTTCTTCTAGTTAGTGAGTATAGACTAGAGCATTTCTATGTAATGTAACGTTCTTACGAAAGTACAATACAGGTAAAATGTACGTTTGGTTCGTGAAAGGGTGATGGTGATACACTAGAACATTTCATAGAGCGGCTCGTTGTTCTGTTACAAGTAAATGCTCTAGTTTATACTCACCTTAAAGTGGACGCATATTTATCCAAGCTGAATGCGTCGATCGAGTCTAAAGAAACGATTTTTTTGTAGATAACAGTTTTTTAAACGTAAATTTTTAAGTATTCATTATTTTAACGTCCAAAAGTTTAACTTTATTCGAAATGTAGATATTAATCGCCCACACTCAGAACTTTAACTACACTGTAAATCATAAAAACTTCTTCTTATCCATTTTATTAGCTCCATTTACAAGCTAAGTACCAACTACCAAGTCTGTATTTCTTATTAAAACTTTTGACGTAAAAAAAAGTAATCTGACCCAGATAGGACTAACTTGGAGTTTGATTAAACTTAGTCCTAGAATTACGAATTCTAATTAATTCAACATTTGACTACTACAAGAAATAAATAACTAAGATTTATTTATTTATAAGAGCCACGAGGAGGTAAAGTTCGTATTTCTCACACCTATAAATGTATGTTAATTGTTACGTATGCTTCCTAATATAGAAATCGATTAGTGGTAGGCCTATGTTCCCAAGCGCAGCGTAGGAAGTCCACCCATAAGGTGAACCCACGACCTCATAAAGGTAGCAGGAAGGCGCTGGATGCAGGCCGCTACAAACCGGTCATTATGGAAATTATTGGGGGAGGCCTATGTTCAGCAGTGGACGTCCTATGGCTGAAATGATGATAATGTTCCCCAAAGGATAAGATGGTGATGTTAATAATAAATAGCTTAGTAACAAAAGTCATTTATTCATCGTTAACATTTTTTAAAACACTTTTAAATTCTGTTAGTAATTAACTATCGCAGTTATTTCACATTATCAGTGTGCGGGCACATAAAAACAATTATATTCGTCAGAATAACTCATTGACGTCAAACGAAATAAGTATTTAAGGTAAAATATTTTAGTTTCCCCGTGTGTTCAAACACACATTTATTTATAGACTAAAGGTAAAAACAATACTGATGTAGGTTGGCATTGTTGCAATTACTTACGTGTTCAAGCGATAGGTAGATATTGTATTAACCTATCTGTGTGTAAATGTATTGAAATTGAATGTAGTGGACCGACGATCTGATAAAGGTAGCAGGAAGGCTGGATGCAGGCCGCTACCAACCGTGCGATGTGGAAGTCATTGGGGGAGGCCTACGTTCAGCAGTGGACGTCCTGTGGCTGAAATGATGATTATGAAGTAACTTTTGTCATAAAATGTATCTAATAACACCTAAGTGGTAAAAAATAGAGAGATAGGCCCAGAATAGACGGTGAAACGCAACTGCAACGAAACTGCAACTGCTAGTTGCTTTTGAGTTGCATCTAAGTTTCTGCCATAGCGTCCGTTGAGAGACCACACATGACGCAACCAGTTTGAAACTTTCAGTTTCAGTTTCATTCATTAGAATCATCAGAAAGTTGCAGTTTCGTTGCAGTTGCGTTTCACCGTCTGTTCTGGGCCATAGAGTTCTCTCTCGATCCATAAGTTTGATCCTCAATCCAATAGCTTAGGCCCGGTTTCCACCAAGACAGAGCGGAGCGAAAAACAAAACACATCTCCGCTTCGCTCGACTCCGCTCCGCTTTGGTGGAAATTAGGCAATCGAGAATGGATAGAATAGAGGCTCACCGATGTTCGCATATTTCCTTCGCCTAAGCCTCAAAGGTTTAACACCAGGGTCAATAAGTTAATATTGAGACCAGTGTTTTTTTTAAATCTTACAAAATGGAAGTCACAAAAATACCACGAATTTTCTCTGCAAAATAAGAGTTCGGTGAAAAAATAAATGTATAAATTGTCCTAATCGGATTAGTGGATTTATGGATTACCCTATACAAACTGTCTTAGCTGTTTATACAGGGTGTAAGTAAAGAGTAAGACAGGTTGACAAAGTCAAAAACTTAACGAACACTGATCCCACCATTTTAATTAAACTAGCTTCTTTCCGCCCGCCGTTTTTCTTACATCGGTTTTTGTTTTCTTTGTTGAGGAATTTTTTTCTAGAAGCTATTCTCGAGTTTAACGCCAACATTACCCATGTCCATGGTGACCATTCCGACCAATCACTTCAGGGAATTAAAATGATGAGATAATATTTGGCCTCACCAGGTTTCGAATCAGCCACCGCAGCCAACTTTGTTGATGTCTTTAATATTCTTATTTCAAACATTCTTATTGACCTAATTTCAAAGCTTTAATTGAATGAAATGTTTCTCCAAGCAAACGGCTAATTCATAAAGTGGCGCCCAACGTGGTGGCAATTGTTAAAATTGGCACCATGAAGCGATGTTTGACTCTACGATAGCTTTATTCTATGTTCAGGTTTATATAAAGTTACTATGTCTAACCGGCAAAATTAACTTTTTGGCCAAGCATTCAAGATGCGTACTCCATTTTATGCGAACGTTATAGGACGTTTGTGACGTCAAATGTCAGTGAGACTTCAGATTTGTATGCTCTGTCACGTCATAATAATATGTCAAAATCACGGGCCTCTCCCATACCTCAGGCAGACTCAATTATGTGCTAAAACTATAGATGGCTGATTTTACCATCTCTATTAATTATGGACTATGGCGGGGTCTCTTTATAGCAACACTGGCCAACACAAATAGTACTTCCATTGCTTCCTATTTTCTTCATTACATTAAGGCGATGCGAAGTAGTAAACGTAAGCTTCTCCCCTACTTAACGTAAAGCCTTGTTCACACTAGTCGAGTAACTTAATTATAGTAGCTAATCTTAAAAAAATCTAAAACCTGAACAGTAAAAATTTAGTCGAGTAGGATACTAAAGCCTTGATCACACGTACCGAGTAATCGGGCAAGACAGTGCTCTAGGCCGAGTACTCGGTGCGTATGAACATAGCGCCGAGTGATTAGCCGAGTGCTCGGCCGAGCAAAGCGGCGAGAACTGAACTGACTGTGCAGTAGTAGTAGTAGACAGTAGCTCGACTCCCGTTCTACTTACTAGGCCGAGTGTCCACCCTCCCACTGCCCCGCACTGTCTCGCTCGCTCGCTCAACAGGTCTGAACGTGCACTGTCTCGCCACTCGGCCAAATGATTGACGTCACGTCCACAGATTAGCGAAAAAAGAAAAGTCGCAATAGAACTGAACTGACTGTGCTAATTTCAAAACTCGTGTGAACAGCTACTCGCTTACATCACTGTCTTGGCCGAGTAAACATTTTACTGTCTCGCCCGTTTACTCGGTACGTGTGATCAAGGCTTAAGTGCGTCTTCAAAAGGCGATTTTGGCAGCGGCATTTTAGAAGGCATCCGCTGCAGTCGCGCGACTGCCACGTTACTGCCGCACAACATGCGATCTAATGTGTTGTGCTCTATTTTG